TTTTTTTTTTTTTCACAATTTCTGATTTCCTTCACTTAGTTTTCTTTATACTAATGTGCTGTCCCTTCCTCTTCACTGCTGTCTTCAGTTCTTGCCCTGAACTCCTGTCTATAGTATCCTTGTTCCCCTTCTCTAACCTCCCCCAAACCTGCCTCCACAGCGGCATCCGGGCACACATCAACTACCACTACCAGCCATTGTCACCATTAATCGTTCCGTACTCCACACTTAGCGCCCTTGTTCCTCTCACCTATCCTGCCCCAGTCCGTGCCCCCGGAGCTGCATCTGGGTACCCCAACCATACCAACCCTCAGCCAGCATCCCATCCCTTCCCCGCCCAATCACGCGTTCCAGTCGTCGTGCACTGGGTTGCGTTACCCAGCGCTCGTGCCTAACTGCCAAGTGGCGTCGGTGAGCGACGCTGCGAAACAGCGTTAGCAGAGAGGCTGGAGTAACTGCCGGGCCAAGTTCTAGTAGTTGCCCATAAAAAGCATTAAAAACTGCTCAGCGACAGGAAAATATAACCGTATACAAGGCAGAGTCTCTACAGTGTGAACTTTGCGTAAAATCGAAAATATGCACAAATGTAATAATTGGCCAACGCATGAGCTGCCCTTGCAAAGATGCGTTTTTTCATAGTTCCTAGCAGATTTTTGTCGTTAACTGCACTGGCTTTTCCGGCAGATCCTTATAACCAAAAGAATTTCAGACTGGCAGCCAGGACTGCCAGGAGACATCTCTTCTAGCTTCTCAGGCTCCCGAGTCAGCAACTTACCCGGGAAAAATTTTGGCGGGCCCCCACGTAGGTATCACGCATAACCGAGGGCAGTCTTTAGACTAGTAGGAGACTAACGTGGACGGGTAGCATCTTTTCAAAATTACAGCCTTCTAGCTTTTCTGGTTCGCGAGTTAGCAACTTACCCGAAAAAAATTTTGGCGGGCCCATGCGTGGGTGCCACGCATAACTGGGGGCTGGGTTTGAGTTCAATGGGACTTAGATGGGGAAAAAATATCCCATCAAAATTACAGCCTAATAGCTTTTCAAATTCTCGAGTTAGGGACTTACCCGAAAAAAATTTTGGTGAGCCCGTGCTTGGGTACACGCATGCCCGAGGGCTGGGTTTGAGCTAAATATGACTTAGGCGGACGGGAAATATCCCCTCAAAATTACAGTCTTCTGGCCCTCAAAATTCTGAAGTTAGGGAGTTACCCGAAAAAGTTTTAGCGGGCCGTGCGTGGGTACCACGCATAACCGAGAGCAGCTTTTGGACTGGTAGGAGACTAACGTGGACGAGTAATATCTCCTCAAAATTACAGCCTTCTAGCTTTTCTGGTTCGCGAGTTAGCGACTTACCCGAAGAAAATTTTGGCGGGCCCGTGTTTGGATACCACTCATGCCCGAGGGCTGGGTTTGAGCTCAATATGACTTAGGCGGACGGAGAATATCCCCTCAAAATTACAGCCTTCTAGCTTTTCAAATTCTCGAGTTAGAGACCTACTCGAAAAAAAATTTTGGCGGGCCCGTACGTGGTTACCACGCGGGTAAGAGCGCCCATTTTGGGGATTGGAGCCTGTACGTGTATGCAGATCAAGTTCCCTAAGTTTCAGCCCTGTAGCTTTTGTAGGTCTTGAGTTGAAAAAGCGTGACAGACGCACACACAGACACACACACAGACAACCCCTCGTCATTTGCGTTTTCTGCATTGCATAGCTGCAAAAAACGCATAACAAACAGAGCGAATGTTCTGATGCCCATGATTGGAGTTTTTGTGCTGAGGTCTTCAAATTCGACACTTAGTCGGACTGCATCCACATACTTCAGCAAAGCTCCAAATGCGCTAATCTAAAAGCAAAAAAAGTTCCCAAAGCTTGCTGCCTTATCATTGGCAGCTAATACCAAATGATCACTAAGACCGACTGCCGGTATTACCCAAAAGTCTATAAATCTGACTGTAAAGAAATGATTTATTTGGTTATGATTAGTGGATTATATTACCCGAACCAACATAACGAGTGGAGAAGTGCATCAACGCCTGAGCCAAAAAGTCCGTATTCAAAGAAAAATTTGGTATGAAATTCTGAACGGCAACATGTTTCAAAACACTGATTGGAGAAACAGTTTGGGGATCTAGTACCAGTTATGTTTCTAGCAATGTCGGACGCTGCTATTCCACGCCCTGAGCTTCTCACAATGTCGGACGCTGCTATTCTACTTCTTGAGCTGCAAAGTAGCTATCGTCTGTTCAGTATATGAGCGAAAGCTCTTCAGAAACCGCCTAAGCGGCTTTTTTCTTTGCAATACCACTCACCAACAAGCTGCTTCACCAGTTGCTAGCAACACAAGCAACATGTACCATCCAAAGAATTTTTCTTTCTTGTGTGGTGACAACGAAAACCCTGCACACCACTCTTCCAATGAACAATTTGATGTAAGTGATCATAAAGAGACACTCCAAGCACCATTCGCTTCATTGTTTTCTCCGTCACATCGAGCGCTTGCTTTTCTGCTTTAGTCAGTGACCATGTTTCGCATTCTGGACTAGTGCTTTCAAAAAAGTGGTGCTGGAGAGGTAAGCGTAATCATTACGGTTTGATACTTGAAGGCACTGACGACTCTGTGAATTTGTGCCATTCAGCAATTCTTCTAAGTGAAAGGTCAGGCTAGAACTATTATTTTGTAACTTCCTGACCAAAAAAAAGACGTAATTGTGAAGTTATTCTAAATAAACACCGTCTGTGTGGGGCCTCCAGACATAGCGGTGTATTGTACCATTTTCGTTATCGATGCGTTGATTTCCAGGCCCTCTTCTTTACCTTACGTGTTAAGTTGTTTGCAGTACTCCATCTATTTCGCCCAAGCAGAATAATTTCACAGTAACTGTTAATTACGTAGATAAAATAATGCAAACACGTAAATCTTTGTGAACAGCAAAAGATTGGCCAGTGCAGTAATTATTCAGTTACATGAATAATTAATGAATGCCTTGATTGTAGAGGGAGGAGTGTTATAGAAGCCTTGATCTCCCCAGAAAAAAGGAAAAACTGCCGCACCGAGATAAAGTACAGACTGGTTCTAGAGCAAAATGTTAAAATTAGGATATCGCATTGGG